AAAAAAAATTATTAAATTTATTTATTTATTAGTACTATTATTTTTTTACATTCTAAGATGTTGCAGAGCAGTGGAGCAAGGGGGAGAGGGTGGGAGAAGGAGGAAGGGGGTGTGTGGTCGAGGCCCATGGCACCCCTTACATTCCTGCAGGGGATACCAGGGGGCTTCTACCGGTGGCTTGGTCATTGCTGGCTGGAGGCAGTTATCAGGGGGGTGTGGCTGAAACCCTTGGCCCCACACTACCCCAGCTCAGGAGCCAAGGATGTTTCTGGTGGTGGCTCCATGGTCATCACTGGGCTGGTTGCAGATGTCAGGGGGAGTGTCCAAGGCCCGAGGCCTCACATTGCTCAGCTTGGGAGCCCGGGAGCCCGGGGCATTTCCTGCAGGGCTTGGTGGTCATCACTGGGCTGGTTGTGGATGCTGAGGGGGCATGGCTGAGGCCCTTGGTGCCCCCACTGCCCCAGCCCAGGAGCCCAGGGTGCTTCCTGCAGTGGCTCGGTGGTCATCACCAGTGGGCTGGGTGTGGTTGTCAGGGAGCGTCACTGAGGCCCACAGCCCTCCCCCATCTCTGGTTTGGGAGCCCAGGGGGCTTCTATTCATTCTAGGTTTTATAGGTGTTCTTTGGTGGTGTTAGACATTTACTAGTTAATATCAAACTTTGTCTCTGATCTGTGAGTATTTTATTTTTTCTTTCAATTCTGTGTTGGATTATTTGTTGTTTCCACCACTTAAACTCTGCACTGGAATTAATTTGTTGTCCTTTGCTTACTTCTAAAATAGGGGAAATTCCTATGGGGACCAGCACTTCAGGTTGAGCTAAATTAGTGCTTTGCTGTTGATTCCCTGGGGAAGGCTTTTTGTGCAGCTCAGGTTTTAATGTTTGACTTTATAGGAATTTTGGGGTCCTGTGAGATCTGGTACACCTGGATTGTGTGGAAACTCTGGCCTGGGCCTAAGACTTTTCAGCAAACTGCTCCCCCTGCAGTTTTATATTCCTGATCAGTCTCCACTGAGTGGTCCTGCACTGATTGAAGGGCAGATCAACTGTCCATGCTGTGCCCCAGTGTTCCCCCAGTGGGCCCGTCTCCCCCATCCGCCCCACTCCAAACACTTCCCACAGGGAGGCCATGTGCTGGTCCTTTGCAATGACTCACCAGCCTCTGAGTGGCTCCTTTTTTCAGTTGTTGTGGTTCCTCCCTTCTATATGGGTCCACAGGAACCCTGTTAGTGGTCTTGCTGGCCTGGGGGCCACCAAGGCCCTCTTCTCCCCTGCCTCCTCCAAACAACTTCATATGAAGGGCACAGCTGTGGCTTTTGCCAGCTCCTAATCCATGTGCTCAGCAGCTATAGCCTGGAAGTAGCCAGGACTCAAAATGGTGGGAGCAGGCTTTTCTTTCATCATGGCTTCTCCTGCCTTCATGACCTCTATAGGTCTCTCTTCCTCTTCCCCTGAGCTCTACTGGTCCTAGCTGGGCTGTCCTTGCTTTTTAATAGTTGTAAATTGGATGATTTGTGGGAAAGAGTGACACTGGGGACCATCTATTCTACCATCTTGACTGGAAGTCTCAGGACCCACAATTTTAAACCTAAACTTCCTGGCAATGAAAACAAAGTTGTAAAGATCACTTGCATGATTCACAGTATTCACAAAACAGAAAAATGTATTTATTTTGAACAGTTTGTTGTGGCACTGATAAACATGATAGGCACATATCATTGAGAGTGAATCTCTGGAGGGCGACATATGTCAGTATCTGTCCCACCTCATTGGCCAGAATCAACACATGGCCCCACTCAAGCACAAGGAGTCAGGAAATGCAATCCTATCATGAGCCCTTTGAGTTCAAAAATTGGCAAACACCACTAGTGATGTCCACACTAGGGAACTTCCAAAATCAAGAGGGGTAGAAGATACTCAACAACATCCCTATTTTAGATACGTAATGCTATCTGAGGGGCTGGACTTTTTACTGTCTGTCGGTCTAAGTCAATGACATGATGTCAAAAGATATTTAATAAGAATAATTCTGTTAAGAAATAAACATTATTAGAAGAATGCATTAGTGGGAGCAATTAAGGTGAATATGCTATCAATATGAACAGTATTGATAGCCACATTTAGTACATATTATTGTGATTTTATGTGTTTTGTGCCATTAAAAATGATTTGAATAGAGCCAGAACTGGTTTTTAGCAATATTTCCCTAGTAAAGTGCTCACACTGCCTCAGTCAGTACCACTTGGTTAGTTCAGCAGACGAGTACAGTATCAAAATTCAAAGAAGGTAGTCTTTCTTAGGAAAAAGTCAGTTTTGCAAAGTATTATTTGAAAACTCCTCATATCATGATTGTACTTTTTATTTTTAAAACTGACATTTATCTCGATGTGACATTTCCTTAATCCTTTAATGACTTTTAGCTGAAATACCAACATGCAGAGAGAAAATCAGAATGTGAATGAAATACTTTTATTTATAAAGTATTCCACTATTAGATGACAGGACTGCCTACCAGTTCCACCTAGCCTACAGACCATTATAACGACAATTGTTTAAAAAGCACCACTTTTGGTGCTACTGCTTTGTGTTTTCTTAATCTAGAAGTTTTTCATTCACCTGGGTCCTAGAGTGTCCACAAAGTTGACTGCCCAATAATCAGTGACAGTACTTGTTTCTTAATTCCCATTTTTAGGAAATTCAAGGGAATGACTAGGAGGCACTGACCCAAGCACCTAGCTAGAAAAGGAGACGATTTTTCTAGTACAACAAATAAGAAGTGTATTGGAGAACCCAAAGGTTCTATCTGCAATAAAAGCTGTCCTGTTGGCTGTTTATTTACCACATTTTCATCTCTTTTCTAACACAGAATAAGAGGCATGTCAAATGAATATTTGCCTCTAGGAACTATAAAAAGCAATAATAAAAATAATTAGTTGAATGGTTGTTTAAAAAAATGCTTATGTCTTCAACAGGAGATCAAAAGCCCTCATAATGAAGTTAAGAAAGAAAATTTTGCCCAAGTGAAGAGATATAAACTCAGGTGCCTTTGTTTCATTTTCAGTTCCAGAAACAATATTTTAAACCTGTGTTCAGCTCTGTATCTAAACATTAAACTTGCCCTGTTCCCCTTCAAGAGGTAGTCTTGGCGGCAATTACACTATCTAATGACCAAAGTGAAAAATTGGATTCCTGACTGACCCCGGCAGGCCAGCTCTTTATGTTCAAATGATATGAGACCAGCTAATAAGACCTCTCCATGCATGGCTTTAAAAGTTATCGATGGCCCAACAGCAAGTCTATTCTTTCTAAAATCCTTTTGTGCACCTGGTCTTGTTATCACCATAGGAGCGACTCACATGCTGTTAGCACATGATTCATAGGGAGAGTTTCCTGTTATTTGTCTTACCTTCATGACATTACAGTCTCACTGAATAGTCTTCTGGTTTCCATGTTAGCAGAGATGACATTAAGAATTGTCAGACTGGTGTTCATCCTATGTTATGCACTATCCCCGAATACCCTGTTTATTCTCTACTCCCTCTCATATAAAATCATTCCAGTTTACATATATTGGGCACCTTCAGGACCTCTGATAACTTGTATTGCCTTCCCCCAGACCTTTTTAATCCATCTCTTCAACTGAAGTTCTGAAATTCTTTGTTCTTTAATGCAAATATACCTGTTTTCAACCTTTGGTGTAAAATGCAGAAACCCAGGCTCCACTTTCAGAAATTCTAATTCAGGAGGTCTCTGTTATGGAGCCTAAGAATCTCTGATTTAAAAACTTCCAGAGGGAATTCTCACTTGCATCTAGAATTGACCAGAGTTGTAGGGAAAACTGCCTTGGAAATTTGATTTCTGAGTCTTCTCCATGCATTTTTATACTAAGATCTAAAAATAGCATTCAAATGATCCTTTTGGTAACCTGCCCCAAGGAAGGTGATACTCTCATTTAGAAGATTTAGAAAAGTATTTGCAACATTTTCTTCTCATTTGACACCATCTTCAGGAATCCGAAAGCAAGATCACAGTTTAATAAACTACCTCTACCTAGAACCCCTAGAACCCCTGTTTTTTTCAATTCACACTCTCTTTCTCCCCTCCTCCACAAAGTAAAATCAATATACACACTCACAGTACATCTGGAACTGATAAGATCCCAAGTAGGTAACTGAGAATCGGAATTAAGGAACAGTGTAAAATCTGTATAACAATCGTCCCCATCCGTCCATCTATAAACGAATCCTATCTTTCCCTACTTACTCTGTGGGATAAGATGGGAAAGGCATAGAGAGAAAGATATCAAAGATATACTCATTCACAAATCCTCATTTAAACATACCTACATACCAGCATTGCCAATTCAACATTAAGTAAGTTCTTCTCTGAGGGAAGCATTATGCTAAGTACTAAGGCTAAAGAGATCGATAAAATATATTTCAAAGCGTGAGAAATCTAGGCAGTGGAAAAGACAAAACCCTGTACCATTATGGAAAACTCCAAATATAAAATGTGTTAAGCATAAACTATTTTTAAATTCGAAGGTATCTCTGATACCTTTCTCTCTACCCCTTTCCCATCTTACCCCACAGAATGAGCAGGGAAAGATAGGATTCATTTATAGATGGACGGATGGGGACTATTCTTACACAAAGTTCACTCTGTTTCTTAATTCTGACTCTAAGTTACGTACTTGGCATCTTGACAGTTCCAGAAACTCTGTGAGTGTGTATATTGTTTTTATTTTGTTAAACTGTGATTACTTCAATGGAAGTCCAACATGATGTCATGGAAATAGGATTGTATGGAGTTCAGTGGCTAATTAGCCTCAGTTAACCCCAGACACTAATTAGCCTCGGGTTTCTGATCTGCTGAGTGTGGATTTAAAAAGCCCCTTCCTGTTTTATGTTCCCAAGCTTTTGCAGTCACCCTAGTAATAATATATTTCTTTATTTCTCATTATAATTCTATTTCTGATTCTTTCCTCTATTTCTCTTTGCAGATTCTGTTTATGGGCATGATGACTGAGTACTATCATTACTTTTTCACAACCTTGGTAAGTGAATCCAGTAGACATGTATTCCACAGGATAGAAAACGTCTGCACGCAGTTATTTCTTTTTTTTTTTTTCCTTTTTGTCTTTTTCCATGTCCGGCAACGGATCGCAACCCTCAGTGTCGCCCCCGTACCGGGCTGGGACCGGCAACGGGATCGCAACCCTCGGTGTTGCTCCCGCGCCTCGCTCAGCCAGTGAGCGGGAACCGGTCCGTATGTGGGATCCGAACCCTCGGTGGGAGCGCCGCCGCGCTTCCCAAGCGGCGCACTACAGCAGTGCGCCACCGGGCTGGCCCCTGCACGCAGTTATTTCAAAGTCAGTTCCACAAGTGTCAAAGGCAGCATATTGTCATGGAGATTTGTCTGATGATCCTAAAAATTCTTTAAATTCAGTAATACTGAACAGCAGGTTTCTTTCTTTCTTTCTTTTTAACTAGCATCAATGTGTGTGCATCTGGAGAGGGATTAAAATGAAAATTTCATCAAATAGAAACTCTTAAAGTGCACACTTCATAAAGAGGCATCGTCTACAATTTTTATATACATTAGAAGGTGCACTAAAGTGAGTCTTCGTATTCTTTGATCCAATGTGGCTTTCTTGCCTGTGTCCAATAGATAGCTGAGTTAGCCAGAGGTCACCTGTTATGCATTTGTAAATCCATCAAGAAGAAGAGTTTGGGAGATGCTCTGCACATTGAATGTTTTGCACCGTTAAAGAAATTCATGAGGCCGTCAGAGGTGAAAAGGGGGAGGGAGAGAAGGGTTAGTGAGAAACTGATAAAGGACCACAAAAAATGATTTCATTGTGCTATGATAAATATGGTAATAGAAGGGGAAAAAGCATGGCTCTAACCCTTAGAAATCCAAAAGAAACTCTAAGATGCCCTGAATTTTGAGAGATTATCAGTTCAAGGGAGAATGATTTAGGGCATTTAACACACCAAAATGATGTGATAGCTCTCAATCAATTTCAGAAAACAGTCTCACACACACACAACTCCGCCCCCACACACTCCACTTTCTTACATGAGGAAAAAAATACAGAGTCAATCTTCTTTTCTAATCTGTAAGGGTGTATCAACTAAAATATACCCAGATTCTGGGGGAGTCAGTAAGAGGAATATTTTGGCAAATATAACTAACAAGCTAGGCTCGTGAGTAAGGGAAACCAAAGAATTTGGAAGAAAGACCATACTGTTCACAGAAGTAGTAAATTCGATCTCTGACTCATGCATCTCCAAGAGCGTGAAGGGGAACGGAGGACATCATGAGTTTAATACTAAGGTAGTTTTCAAAATCATTACTGCTGCTGAGTTTGGGGCAGGGAAGTGGAGTACAGAGCAGATGTTTCTGAAATAAGGTTTCCATGATCTTCCTACCCTGTTCTCCCACTATCCTGATCAGGTCCTCTTTCAGAACAGTCAAGGGAAGTTTGGGAACTTCTAAATATCTTAGTTTGTTTGCAAATATGACCTTTGCTCCATCACCATGAACACCAGGGTTTTACTCAAGGTGATGTGGTCATCTGCCTCTGAACTTTCTACTAACCCCAGCTGTACACACCCTGAAGCATTGGTTTTGGAGAAATTTGGGAAAGAATATGAACAATGGAAACTAAGAAGGCTGGTCCTCACTGGAGACCCTGGAAGGATGAACAAGTTGTGCACTTCGTATTCCTGCTTCCTCCTCACACCCTTGCTTTCCTCATCTTGCACTCACATATTGATGTATCTATTTCAGCACATTGAATTTATGTGTTCTAGAAGTTTCTGTCTGGCCTTCTGTAGCTCAAGTAACTTTTCTTCTATTCATTGAGTGTGCTAAAGGAGTCATTCTTTCCTGGGTCTTATTCTTTACATTAGCTTATTTAATCCTTTTCCTTTAGTTTTACCTGCTTTCTACCCTGCTTTGCTTTTACAGTCTTACCACTCTTACCCATCAGTATTAATAAAAGATAATGAAATAAATTAGTTACTTAATGCAAAGAAAAAAATATGCAATGCTTTAAAAAGCAGTATACCTTTTCTGATATGAGCTAGGAGCACAGAGCTGCACTCTTTTATCATTCTACTGCCCAGTCCAAAGTTATCTTGGGAAAAGGCAACAATGTAGAGAAGAGTTCTTCAAAAGAATAAATCTGTATACATCTTCTGCAAATGCAAATCATGTGTTCCTGAAGCTGCTGCTCTTGAGTCCTCACTACCACCACTGATAAATATACTGTCATGTACTACACTTTCAGAAAGCAGTTATATTGTTAGGAAATTTTTATGCTAGTTTTTGTTGTGGTTGTTGTGTTTTGTCTTCTTTTTTCTGTTAAATGATATTTTGAAGATTTAGTTTATCCTTATATGTGATACACTTGAATAATATATTTTAGAGCCTAATCTTTTTATATTAAAAAAGTTGAAATTATCACACAAGTCTGTTTTAAATACGAATCAATGTATAAACTTCTGGTTTATACCCAGCTTCATCTGTAATGAAAAACTCTAAGGTGGGTTAGACATTTTTTCCTGAAGCATTGTCTGAATGGGAATGAGTTCTGTTGTTAAGATGCTCTCTTGCCCACACAAACACATGCTATAGTATATTCTCTGAAGAGAACCCATTGGTCCATATTCTGAGCACATGCCCAGTGAGCACTCTCCATGTTCTCATTTTATGGAATATGAGTTATTTTCAGTGAGCCAGGGGATGGTATTTTTTCCTGCCAGGAGTGATCTTCCTATCAAATACATATGCAATTTCCAAATTTCATTTCCATGGCAAGACCTGGGGCTGCAAGATGTGATGGAGAGGGTGGAACTGCCACTGGCCCGTAGCTCATTCTTGTCTTGGTCACGTCACCACTCAGAACTCAGTTTCTTCATCTATAAAATAAAAGCATTGAACCAAATGGACACAAAGACTCCTTCCAACTCTCCAAACTATATCCTAGGAACAGAATTCTTATCTTCTCAGAATATCATATCTTGTGCCCAAGGACATACTAATTATTGGCAACCAAATTCCTCTTCTTGGTTTATCCAAACTCTAACAGTATTACAAAAATAGATAAAAATGAAAACTGCTTATTGCCTTAGAGTTTCTCAGGAAGCATATGAATGAAAAACAGTAAGAAATGTTTTTTTTAAAAAAACGGTGCTATTTTTTTATTTTAATCTATAGTAGTAGATTATCCAAAGGGGATGCATTCCAAGACCCCCAATGGATGCCTGAAACCGAGGATAGTATGGAACCCTATATGTACTGTTTTTTCCTATATTTATACATACCTATGATAAAGTTTAATTTATAAATTAGGCACAATAAGAGATGAATAATAACTAGCAATAAAATAGAACAATTATAACAATATGCCAGAATTACTACTCTTGCACTTTGGGGCCATTCTGAAGTAAAATAAGGGTGACTTGAACACAGCATCTTGAAGTCGATTCTGATAACCGAGAGGATGTCTGAGAAACTAAAGGGCTGGGAGCATCTACAGTGCAGATGTCCTGGACAAAGGGAGGATTCACATCCCCAGGGAGTAGGAAGGTGGGAAATTTCATCATGCTATGTGGAACAATGCATGGTTTAAATTTTATGAGTTGTTTATTTCTAGAATTTTCCATTTATACATTTGGGCCCCGGTTGACCACGGGTAACTGAAACCGAGGATAAGGGGAAACCACTGTATTTGTTTCTTCTACAATCATTAATTTCTTTTGCATAAAAAAAAAAGAACATTGAAAATGCTAATTCTTTTCCACTTTTATCATTTTTAATACTGCACAGGACTTATTTGCTTTAGATCTGGAACTCTACAGGTACAGCGGCGTCAACATGACTGGGTTTCGGCTGCTTAATATTGACAATCCTCACGTGTCATCCATCATAGAGAAGTGGTCGATGGAACGATTGCAGGCGCCCCCCAGGCCCGAAACTGGCCTTTTGGATGGCATGATGACAGTACGTAATTTTAAAATAAAATCATTTGAAAGAATGTTTGAATTTTTCAGGGCTTAGGTTAAGAATCTCATATGCCTTTAAAAGGTGAGGAAAAAGTGTTATTACTGTTATTCCATGTGCCTGGACTTGTAGGAGAAAAAGAATAAGCTACTTAGGTATTTTCGAAGGCTGTGCCTGGCTACTATCAAAAACTGCTATTTTTAGCATTCTGAATGCACTTGTCTCAGATAAAAATGTTGACAAATGTAGCCCCAATCATTAGCCAAATGAAGACAAAGCAGAAACTAAAACAAGGGCAAGGGAAGAGAGTTCTTACCCCTGGGAATGTGGCCTTGGGGAGAGGGAGGGAGAGAGGAAAACAATCTGCCTAGAAAAGTTATACAGAACCACTTGGACTTCCTGGCTTCTGCTACGTCTCAGCAAGCAGAAGCTGATATGGAAAAATGCCAGATTTACATACAGCTGGTGCATCGACTGTCTTCCTGTCCTGGAAGCAGATAGGCACACCTTTGCAGACATTGACAGTGCTTAACATCAGCCATATGTCGCTGTTGGAGCGGATGACAAGTCAGAGGTACCCTGTGAACAGATAAATTGCAAACTGCCTCATCAGAGAGCTTCTCTGTAACATCATTTGTCTCTTGTCAAATGCACCTAACTTTGCTCTATTTCCCTAATGAAGCTCCCTGGGTGATGAAGAAAATAACAGAAAATAATAATAAAAAAAAATGCTTTCTATGTAGGAACAGTGGCATCTAAAGGGAAAGATACTGGGAATGCAGGCAGGTAATAGCATTTTAAATTGCCACAGTATTTCACTCTCTGTTCCCATCATCAGGAGAAGCACTCTTTTAAGATGCAATTTACTGATAACTGAAAGGTATTGTCTCACAGAGAAATGAACTTAGAATTTCCTTTTCTCTTTTTATTATGAGAAACAAAAGAAAAGAAGAAATATATGAATGAATTAAGTGGTTCTGGATGATTCCATGTTCAGGGTCCCTGACTGTTTTTCAAACACAAAATAACTTTTAAAATATACAAAGTGATCTGAGAGATAATGACGAGAAGCATTTTGGTACAAATGAGCCTTGGGGTGATTTGAAACATTACTTTAAATAAGAACAAGTAGACAATATCCAGGAAAATACTAGAATTCTGAAAGGGAGAGAGATTACCAGGAAAAAAGAGAAAGAGACAGACAGGCATGCTAGTACATCAGTTTCTCTCTTCTTCCTCGTGAATTTGTAATTGCAGTGAGTTCAAATATGGTTTAAAATCCTCTGCCCACCTCCCTGCCTTCCCATGAGATTTCTATCACAGGATGAAGTCTCAAATAGTTTTTACCTGCACTTGGTATAAACCACTGAAAGAGTTACAGTTTGAAGCTATGTTAACACAGATTGTGGATTCATTAAATATTCATCACAGGTATGGCTTAATTTACCCAAAAAAGCATCTGTGCATTCAATTATACTGATGTGACAGAACAGTTTGTACATATGGACTGAGAGGAGGATGACCATTGAACAAAGGAGACAGCACCAGTTCACTCCCCCAGGGCTGCTGCCTTGAGTTTATTACTGTCATTACACCTGCGAGAGGGGTTTCTACCTGGAAGAGGGGTTTCTAGGCTGAGTTCTTATTGCTATTGTTACTATTATTATAAACTTTAAAAAGGAAAGTGGAGATTGTCCAGATTAGAAGGGGTGGCTCAGCAGGGTGCTATAAAGGTGGGTACAGTAACTGTATTAGTCTGTTTTGTGTTGCTATAACAGAATGCCAGAGACTGGGCATTTTATAAAGAGCAGAGGTTTATTTGGCTCATGGTTCTGGGACAGCTGCATCTGGTGCAGACCTGAGGCTGCTTCTAGTCATGGTGGAAAGCGGCAGATAGCCAGCGGATACAAGCAGATCACATGGCAAGAGAGAGAGAGGGGAGGTGCCAGGGTCTTTTTAAACAACCAGCTCTTCCAGGAACTCACTTATTACCCCCCACCCCCAGGCAGAGCATTAATCCATTCATGAGGGATCCACCCCCATGACTCAAACAGCTCCCAACACTGCCGTATTGGGGATCAGATTTCCACATGAGCTTTGGGGGACAACACATGCAAACTCTATCAGTAACTATGCCATGTCATGTCAATACTAGTCAAAAAAAGTCATAGAACGCACCCACTAGGAGTTGGATCCAACAGTGATTCAGATACAGCTTTGAAACTGATTATGTGAAGCACAATATTGACCTTTATTTAACCAAAGAGTCTGCTTTGATCCTTACTGTTTCCTGTCTTTCTCCTGGATATGGCTTATTTGGGCATGTGGGAACTGAGTCGTGGAGACGTGAAAGGGCATGTAGAGGGCATCTAATAGATCAACTGCTAAGCCAAGAGAGCACATCCCATGTCCCCAAGCCCAGACTCAATGCTAACAAATCTTTGCTCTTAAGTTGCTTCTACCCAAATTCTCTCTTCTCTATGTTAAGACAGAAAGCCCTTTGGTTTCAATTCCATTGGGTCTGGGTATCAGACCCTGCATTTCATTCATTGTTCCATGCCAAGCACTTGTTGCTCCCCCTGCCTGGAACCCGCCCCTATCCCAGCTGCTCAAATGCCACTTCACAGGAGAAGCCTTCTATGAACCATTGTTTAATACATTAGCCCCCTCCCCGTTATTCTCTTTCTCCTCACTGTCATTACTCTTCTTTATAGCCTTAGGACCTGATAGGATATATTTTGATTTGTCTGTTCAAAACCTTCCCCTACAAGAAAATGAACTCCTTGAGGACAGAGTCTTTGTTTTTTTGTGTTCTACTCTATACCCAGCACTGGCACAAAGTAAGTCTTCAATAAATATGTATTTAATGAAGGAATTAATGCATTAAATAAATATGTATTAAGCTTCTAATATGATTTAAGATGTTAAATGAAAAATATTTATATAGCCCTGAAATATTTTTATAATAGCCCAAAGAGACTGCCTATAAATAAGAAATATGCATGATTAGTAGAATAGAAATTATTTTAAAATAATCATATTTTTTAGAAGTTAATCATAGACTAACCACTATTAATGTTTAAGTAATGCCATTACTGCAGTAGAATTGTATTCTCCAAAATCATATGCATGCTTCCACTGTTCTCCAAGGTGAATTTACCTGTAGTCCTTTATAGCCATATTTTTTGTGTGTGTTACATACATCTACAGATGCCTGTATAATATATAATACAGGAATTTTAAAAAGTAAGAAAAGCCCATATGTTTTGACTTCCCACCTACTTATGTACTTTCCTCTTTAATATTTTTAACAATTAAGAATTTCTTAGAATTACAACCACTAAAAAGTCTTCAAAGAGTACTATTATATATGTCAAAACACATCCAAATCTGAAAATAGAGAAGTAAGTCATCACCAAGTCAAAAATTCTTGATTCCAGATTTAAGAACAATAGATTTAATTAAAGGGAAAAAAATGACTTTAAAATGGGGTTAAAATTGAGTTAATTAAGAAAACTATATTGAATCAATAGTTCCAAAACAGTGAAACTTGTTATTATAAAATATCTTGAGATTTTAAAAAGAGTGTTTTATCAACTGAAGTGTTAAGTAACTCAACAGAAGTTTGGAATGAGTTCCATAAAATCTACTTTGATCCCTTTCACCATATTTAAATTTTTCTCAGCACTTAGGCTGATTCAATCTATTGGCTTATGGATAGACTGGGATAATGGAATGGTCTGTTCTCTGTGGACCAAAATCATGTATGATTCATTACGGCACAGGAGTCTTGGAAACAACAAAGCATTGATCTGTCATCTGCCTTCCCAGTTCTTCAAATGCACTCACAATGTGAAGTTAAGCCAGTAGTCTTGTCCTGCTCTTTGACATGTGAACATTTTTTATAACTATGATCCACAGGGAAGACATCTTTGAATATCCATCTTGAATGTTCACTACTAGACAATATATTGGCAACTGGATTCAGTAGAAAAAGGAAGATCTTTGCAAGAATAAGAATAAGAAATGCCTAGGTTTTATCCTGGGGAGGTCTCCTAACTAAGTGAACTGAGCAAGTTATTTGGCCTCTCTGAGCCTGTTTACTCATCAGCAAATCTGTATAATAATACTTTACAGTGTTACTCTACAGATTAAATTAGAGAACATACGCAAAGCCTCTAGGGCATAGAATTAAATTTTCCTAAAGGTACCTGAAACACCAAGGCAGAATCCTTATTCCACCCATTTTTTACAAGAGGCACATTTCTTGGCTTGCCCATGTAGCCCAAGCTGGCCCATTCCCTGGGACCCATGTGACCTTGTATGACCAGCAGCATCACCTGGGTGTATTTTCCAACTTCATATACAATTTTTGTTTACCTGTTCCCCACTGTCTGTCTCAAAAGCTGGCAAAAGACTCACAGTATAACGAACTCTCTCCTCAGCCACACTGGACCTGCTGGGGTTGCTCTCCTATTACTAAATTTCTAGACTGTGAGTACATGCTGATATCATTGCCACGTTTCCCAATGCATTTCCAAATCCCATTTCCCTTGTACGTGTCTCTCACCTACCTCCTGGATGCTCAAGTACTCAGGATGCTCAATGCCTCCTCCACCACTTTGGCTTTCTCAGCAGCATCCACCACCTCCACAAGCTTGTGTTTTCTTGTGGGGTTCCTGTAAGGAAAGCACTAGTTCTCCCACCCTTACCAAAATTCTCAACACTTCAATGATACAAGTCACAGAAATGAAGAAAACTAGCCAATTCATATTAAGTGGCAAATTACTGTTAGTTCTATGCCATTGATGTCATATTTGGATTTTAATAGGGGAACTATTAACACCAAGCTAGAGAGGCACTTCAGGATATTAGGGGAATGGGATGTTATTTGGGAGTACTTCTCTCCTGGAAAACGGCCTTGTTCATTTACGTCAGGTTAGTAAATGTTTCCAATTTGCAGGAAAAATAGAAGATCTATGCTTTTTGTCCATTTTCTCTACAAAGACTAGGTCTCTCTTTAGCACCCCAATCTCCTCCAGCTTTTGCCAATGACAGCTATACACCAGACAGGCAGAAAAGTGTGGGGACTCTATAAAGCCATATAGCGTTGTTAGTCCTTGTCCCTAAGGTGAGGTGGAATCTCATTGGTTTGCATTGGGAGTCCCCAAGGCCATCCTCAGGTTTCATGATTTGCTAGAAGGACCCACAGAAAAAAAGAAAAGCATTTATACTCATAGTGACAATTTAATATAGCAAAAGAATCCAGAGTGAAATTAGCAAAGGAAAAAGGCTCAAAGGGCAAAGTCCAGGAGAAACCAGGCTTGAGCTTCCAGGTGTCCCCTCCCAGCGGAATTGCATGGACAGAACTAAATTCTCAGCAATGATGTGTGACCACATGTATAAAATATTACCAACCAGGGAAGCTCAGATGAGCCTTGGTGTTCAGGGTTTTCATTGGAGGTCGGTTACATAGGCTTAGAGCACTCACACAGCTCACCTTAGTTACTTACTCTCCAGCTATTCCAGAGGTCAAATTGATAGAGCATGGCCCAGAGCCAAGGCCAACAAAAACAGGCATTCATTATAAATCACGTTGTTAGCATAAACAATCTGGCATTGCCCAAGACCCCAGGAATAAAAATATACTTAAAGGTCATTCTCCAGGAGCCAGTCAAGGATCAGTCTTTTCTTTGGAACATGCAGGGTTTCAGCATCCCAAGCCGCTGAGTTAAACTTTTACTGCAAATTGTAATAACCAAAACATTGTGCACTGAAAAGAATCTCGCTTTCTATATGCTTATTTTATGAGCCAGATTGTGGTAAAAAGATTTTCTTAGGGACATTGAGCGATATGGTTTTATCCAGGCTTTAGATATATATAAAATGTGAACATAAACACATTTAGAAGAAGAAAATTTGAAACATAAACCAATTTCTATTACATTCTTATTACCTAAAATGACTTGGGCGCTGCTGTTTGGTAAGCACACTTCCAGCACAAAACTGAAACAGGAAAGAAATTCATTGGTTAAAATAGAGTAAATGTTTCCCTATCCAAGAAAACAATTTATATCAAGGGGTAGCATATTTTTAGAATAAATGGATTTCTTCTTTGCATTTGAAAAGTACTGATCAGACCTATAGTTTTGAACTATTTTCTTATCCATCCCACTATGGAAGCAGCCTTGTCTTCTCAAATTCCTTTCTAAACTATGTTTATAGAAAAACTCCTTACATTTCTCTGTCAAATCAATCATTCAATGAACTGGTGAATACATATACAAATCTGTGAAGAAGTTCTACTTCTACTTCTTCTATATTCTACTGATAAAAAAAAAAGTCCAGGTCAGCATAGCACAGTGGCTATAGGTGTGAGCTCTGAAATCAGAGTTTGTATCCCGAGTTGGAATCATCACTTACTACCTTACTAGATATTCTGCCTCTCCAAGCTTCAATTTCCTTGTCTTTAAAATGGGACAGGACCTATTTCAAACATTTAATTTCAAAAGTTAAAGGAGATAACATATGTAAAATGCTTACAGTGCTTGGCACATAGTAAATTCTAAGTGGATATTAACCATTATTCAACTATTATTGTGACTATTAAATTATTAGACAAGTAACCTGGTTTAGAGGAAGCACAGCTTCATGGTTAAAAGCATAAACTCTAGCACCAACTTCTCAGGTTTGAAGGTTGGTTTTCCCACCCCTAGTTTGGGGATACCATTTAATCTCTTCATTTCTTTATCCATAAAGGAATAAAGGTTATGGTGCAAACTCAATATTTGCAAAGGATTTAGAACAGCACCTGACATAATAAGTGCTCAATAAATGTCAGCTATTATTATGGATTACATTTTAGAAAGTCACAATATGCCAATGAATTACTCTCCCCCAATTAAGTCAAATTAATATAGCAGAGTAGTGAGGAACATGGGTATTAGAATCACACAAACACAGGTTCAAACCCTGACCATGAAGCTGGTTAGCAAAGTAGCATTGTCCCAGTCACTTAATTTCCATGAGCCTCAGCTTTCTCATCTACAAAATGGATTATATCAGTCTTGAATGATCAAAATATTTTTAAGCTTTAGCAATTACCAACACCAATCTAACTTCTATGTATCAATTACACGAGTGAAATGATTTGTCTTAAAACTACATCTTAAAGCCTTGGGATTACACAAAAATTCTCACAAAAATTGCATTTTATTTTAAGGCCTAAAATAATATTAATTCTTTCAGCAAACATTTATTAGACAACTTTTATATGCCAGGATCTTTGCTAGCTTCCAAAAGTTGAACTTGAGCAGCATCTGCCTTCAAGAAGCCCACATTCTTATCAAAAAACAGATATAAAAACAAATAATAAATATATGGAAAATGCAGTGATAGAGACTGCACATAACAATTAGGATTCAAAGTACAGGTAGGTACTCCCTGGCCTCAAAAACTGATAGGATGCAAGAAGTAGTAACCCCATCCTCTCTTTCACTTGCATCAAGACATGCCCAACCAATGCATCGTATATGTTGAATGAATCAACTAATTTCAGAAAACCACATGATAATCTTCATTCTATGACCTGGATTCTAGATTTAACTCTGCCATGTATATATATATGTATGACCCTCCACAAATCAATATCCTGCCAGAAGGTCAGTTTTCTCACATAATAAGTAGCTTTATCTATCTGTTCTGCTTCTTTTAAGGGGTTGTTGAGAATTTTAAATGAGCTAATGTATTTGAAGTTGCAATGAAAACCCTGAAGTAAAATGTGAGGGTAATATAAGATTTTTTTCCCTAAAGAAAATTACAAGGCAGTATATTTTATAAAATGCTGTATTGTGTAAAATTTGGCAAACAAGAGAAACTTAACAAGGAAGGGAAGAATAAGATGCCAGCCCCCAAAAAGAACGCCTACTTTCAGTCTCTATTAGGAAACCACATCATGAGAAGAGCAGGCATATTCTGAGCAAGTTACACATGTGTGTTCTCCAGAGGTCTCCCCAAACTTGCTGTTGAATTTGATTCCACGACTACACTGTCCTTGACTTTGGTAAATGGAAATGACAGACACAAATGTCCTTATCTGGAAATCACCTGTTAGTTTTACTTGTAGCAGTTTCCACCAAATATAAACCAGTAAGTAGGTAGATACATAGATATAGATAAATGCTGCAAAACAAAATCTGATACTGAAATGTTGGGCTTAGTACTTCTAGCTCAATGTAGTTGATCTTAACACCATGCTTAACATAGAAGACACTCCAGAAATACTTGTTCCCTGAATCAAGCTTTTTGTAGTCTATCTGAGTTGCTTTTTTCAAATTTATTTTCATTTTTTAAGAACTCAAAGCAGTGCTCTGACTCCAATTTACTCTGTAGTGTGAGGTATTGTTTTGGAGAAAAAATAGCTATTAGAGAAAACTATTCAGCTGAAGAATAAATGGCCTTTGAAATCAAATCAGACAAACAGGAGCTAAGGATGCAGGGAGAGTGATTGCACAGGCAAAGGAAGGTAAGCAAAGGTTGAAGGTGACGTGTGTGTTTTCCTCCGCAGACCGAAGCGGCTCTGATGTATGATGCCGTGTACATGGTGGCCATCGCCTCCCACCGGGCCTCCCAGCTGACCGTCAGCTCCCTCCAGTGCCATCGACACAAGCCATGGCGCCTTGGACCCAGATTTATGAACCTGATCAAAGAGGCAAGTGATGCTCTCCCGCCAGCTTAGTGCGGTTTGATTTGTCCATGTGGTGTGGTCCTTCCCACATGGTTCTGTTGGGAGGAAAAGCCATCATTAACCAATCTGCTTGGATTTCAGTGTCAAAGATTTGCCTAGAAGAAGTACCAGGAAACTTCCAGGGCGATGTTGAGAAGTTCAAAGGGGCTACCAGACCATAACACTCACCCTACTTCATTTCAGCCAAGACCCCAGCTTCTGCTGGCCCTCCCCACATGTTCATGAGAGCTTGTGGGTGCTTTGTTCATGGTTCATTCAGGAGAGGGAGGGTTGGTCCATCACTAAGAAAACCAGAGACAGTTCTCACCTTGTCAGCCCACAATCGGAGTGGCCTCCTAAGGCTTGGGCTGTACAGGACTAAACAGAAGGATCTTTTTACTTTAATGTTATGGTGATTATTTTGCCATTTGTCAGCTAACCAGAAAAGTGTAATCCCATTCAAATCCCACTTAGCACACTAAAGAATTTTCAAGAGTACAGAGTATTTGGGGGAGGGAAATTCTTTCCAAATGTTCCAGGATCTCACCTTTTCCTTTTCTCTAAGGCAGTTTGATTCCCCTTTTCAAGACTCTGTACTGACATTCCAAGACTTCTTATAGATATGTACTCTTAGGTTGTCTTTGACCCCAATATGCACCTCAGGGTATGTCTGGACTTAATAATATGAAATAGACTCTTGGGAGATCCAGGTCTGGCCAACTATGCACCATGTTCTGTGATGCTGCTCTAAGATTTTCTCTAGGGGATGCAGAGATTTACCTTGTAAGTAAAGAGTATTTTTTTTCCTCTCTGTACTGGAGAAGGATGAGTGAGACAAAGCCACAAGAGAAAAGAAGGGGAAGGAACAGCACAAGAGAAGAATGCACAGCCAAGGCAAGGGAGGCGTCCTAAGGAAAGACACTTGCTCTTCAGCAGCGACAGACCCTCTCTTGGGCTGTTCAATCTATCTCCCCATTAAAGGCTGACTGTGAACCATAAAGTGAGGACCAGACAGGCAGGGTGTATAAGGTTAAGCACCACAGCTCCAAAGCAGGGTTTCTTGCAAGGCTGGGACTAGGGCATGATTTAAGGAAGCACTCACTCTCAGGTGCAAACCCTCCACTTGCACAGGACTCAAAGGGAGTCCTCCTTAAACTTTGTTCCCTGGGCACTTCTCTTACCTCATTCTGGTCCTGGCAGTGGCTGCTAGCTCCACTAATAGGAGCAATATAACCTAGGCAACTTACTTAAACTCCCTGCATCTCAGTTTTCTCGTCGTATCAATGGGAGTACCACCACCTAACTCATAGCGTTATTGTGAGGATAAACAGTAAGGCAAATGCTTGTGAAGAGTAGTGCAGGAACATAGTAAGAATCCAAAGGCTGGCTGGTTAGCTCAGCTGGTTAGAGCATAGTCTTGTAACACCAAGGTCAAGGGTTTGGTTCCCCATTCCGGACAGCCACCAAAAAGAAAAAGAAAAAAGAATCCGAAATAACAGCTTTTCTCTTACCACTGGAATGCACCACTAATAACAGCCTTACTCAGTTTACTGAGGATGTTGCCAGCAATTTAAAACTGGCAGCAACAACAACAACAACAACAAAGAAATCACAAATAGGCATGAAATGAAATATGCTTTCTGACAGCTACATAAATCTGACAGAGTGTGCCTAATAGAAAAACATCACACGGCCTCCTCTCCCTGCAGCGATTGTGGTTATGTCCTGAATCGCCATCGTGATTACTTGATCTTTAACAAGAAAACAGCCAGTTTCTTTTTATTTCACACCAGTGCAAGGAGAGGCAGAAGCCACATGAAAGCTTGGGATCACTCAGAGCACCCCAAGCACCTTTTTGCTTGTACTTAAGTTGCAGAAGAAGGTGAAATTACCAAGCCTATGTAGTCATGTTTAAAGAAATAATGAGCTCCAAGATAAGGGACCACATTGAGAGCAAGAAAGCATTTTGTATTAATTCACTCCAAAGAGCAAATTCCCCATTTTCAGGCTCCACAGTTGGGGGTGAAGGAAGGGTAGGGGGGGAATGCATGAGAAGCCTCTGTCAGCATTGTGCTCATCCTGTCTTTTGTCTCCTGAGTCATGATGCCATATGCTGCCTTTGGCAGGATGTAGGCACCTGCAGAGAAGATGCGATGGGGGGTAACTGAGAGCAAAGCCCCAGACTGTTGGAGGACTGGCACCAGGAAAATTCTGAGATGAACTAAAACATGCAAAAGAGAAAATGCAGGTGTTTCTTTGGATGAGGACATAATAAAACTTTGCAGGCATCTGGTTTTGTTAGGAAATATGAAATAAGGTATTTGGTTCCTGAAAGTTCCCCTAGTTCTTTCTTCTTGTAATTCTCACTTTCTAAAAGAGTTCCAAAACTAGAATCAGAAATAACGTAAGGGAGCAAATCAGGAGATTGAATTTATGGTGTGAAGATCAAACTCATTACAGGAGGTAAACTTCCCGAGCAAAGTAGTTGCATGTGTACTAATCCCTGATAATGTCACACAGTGTTCAGAATCGGTAAGCCTTTCAGACATATCTTTCAAGGTGACTACCTTTCAGTGTTTGGGGCTTACTAGAAAAAGGGGAAAAATAAAGAACATTTGAAACACGATTATGTCATAGTGTCAGCTCTCTGGGCATTTGCTAACAAATACTTACTAGGAGGTTATAAATTCCCACTCAACAAGCATTATTCCATGATATAAGTAATAATATCTTGGCACCATAAGGGATATCCTCTAAAAGAGTAGCATATGTGGTTTCTGCTGTCTGCTAATATAAAGTCTATGTGGTAGAGGAATGACAGGCTTCTTTTGAGGCTTTCCTATATTGCAGGATAAAACCTTCACTTCAGCAGGATGTGCAGTCTCCGGTGCTTTTGTTCCTGATCCCCTACACCATCTCTTTCACCTCCTGCCCCACCTCAGCACTCGCCAAACCTACTGTGGCTCCCTCAACATGCCACATGCTCCCACCGAATTCTTCCACCTCTGATTGAAATACCATTTCCCTCTGAGTCATTCTTTACGCCTCTTCTTAAGCACTACCTTCTGTCTGCTGGCCCTGACTCACAAATGTAGGCACCTCCCCTCCATTATAGCTGTTGCTAGACCATCATATGTGTTTGCATGTCTGTCTCCAAGCTGTGCTTTTCCAGTATCAATTCCCTAGTTCTTGCACAATGCTGGGCAGAGAGTAAGTGCTGAACAAATAGATGCTGAATAAATGAATGAATTAATAAATTAATGAATGAGCAAGCAAAGGAACTGAAGAACACATGCACTTACAACCTATGAGCAAATGCAAGTGCAATAGGATACACTCAGTCCTATCATGAATATCATGTCCAGAAACAATCTGATAAGATGGAGTCATGGCCTGGACTAGGCCTGTCCACCAGGGTCATAGGATCTGATGGGAGACTAAGGCTGGGGTCTTAGGAAGAGACCAACCTATGTAACTTTTGCATTGAGAACACCGATCCCGGGGTTTATTCATAGTTTACTATCTGTGTAAACTTAGTCATTTAGCTTCTTTGTTTCTCAGTTCCCTCTTCTAAAATGGGAATAAAAATGCCCACTCCATATGTTTGTGGGGATTATGTGCATTATATGTACAGTCTAGCAAAATGTTTGTCATGTAGTTGCTCAGGAAAGGGTAGCTATCATTAAATGGGAGGTTCTGTAAATGTATACCATGTGAGTCAGGAGAAATGAGGCAATGCATAGAAAACATTCAATATATTGCCAAGCATATTGTAAGCACTGCATGCTTGCTATATTATTATTGTTGTCATCGTTGTTATTATGGGAGTCTAGGAGAAAGTATCAGTTGTTTGCATGAAGGAGGTGTAGTGCTAGGCTAATGTCAGAATCCTCCTGATGTTGCCAATTGTCGGGCTCTTTTCCCTGCCTGTAATCCTGCTGACTGGGCCAATTGTTGAGCTAGGGCTGGGTCTGAAGCTCACAGACCCCTCAAGCCCGTCCACAGACTGAGTCACAAACCCTTCACATGCCAGCTGGGTCGCCAGACCCCTCACACGCCTGGCTGGGTCACCAGACCCCTTACACACAAGTCAATGAGCTAGGTAACCGGCAAACAGGTCCTTGGAAGCCCTAGATTGGAAAGCATGGCTGCTAGTGGGGCGGTGGCCACTGGAGGCAGTAAACTCCAGCCAAGGTGGGGGTGCTGTGCAGGTGCACTAACTCCACCCACACGCAACCTATTCATAGCAAATGCTTGGCAAGATTCTGAACATCTGAAGGGCCCTGACCATTTTCATATATTTTCCCAACAGGAAGGCAGGACCTTGCAACAGGAATTCAGGAGTTCCATGGAGACAGACATGCAGCATACAGCAGGCCAAGTTCAGTGATGCCAGGGAATGAGGGAACTTTCAGACCGCACACGATTGTTCAGGAAGGGCAAAAGGACATTAGATAATAAACAGCCAGGCTGAGTGTCTTAGTCCATTTGGGATACTGTAACAAAACAGCACTAACTGAGGGGCTGACGAACTACAGAAATTTACCGCTCACAGTTTTGGAGGCTGGGAAGTTCAAGATCATGTCTCCAGCAGATTCGGTGTCTGGTGAGGACCTGCTTCCTGGTTCACAGACCTCCATCTTTTCACTGAGTCCTCACATGGGGAAAGTGGCAAAAGATCTCTCTAAGGCCTCTTTTGTAAGGGTGCTAATCCTTTCATGAGGACTCTGCCTGTGTGGCTAATTACTTCCCAAAGACTCCACTTCCTAATACAATGGTCTAAGGAGTTAGCATTTCAACATATGAATTGGCTGGGGCTGAGAGGGGGGCGGTGGCAACACATACATTTGGACCATGGCATGAGCTACCAGAAAACCCTGGCAAACTATGTTTCAGACCAGTCTGGGAAATGGTGGCTGAATGTGGGGCTAAGGCAGCCAAAGCATTTCCTGCCTGTGGTCATAGTTGCTCTCAATCCAGATTAAGTTCCAGCTGGCTGCAAAGCAATCAGT